AAGACTACTCTAATTGCCTTTAGCATTATTAAGTCAGTCCAATTGTTTTAAAAATCTGGTAAGCTGATGTATTAAGCTGACATGATGGAGCCCTTCAGCTTTCACTGTGGTCATCACTATCTCCTGCATCCACACAGCCATCAGTAGCAAGCTGATGAGGACTTCTGTGGTGCGACCACTAGGGTGGGACCCTAGAAGCTTTCAAATATCTTCATTTTATACTTCTTCAAATCCATTGGTTTTTTTTTAGATCAGCACAGCTAGTTTGGAAGTTTTAAAAATTTCCCTGAAGAGGGGCTGGGGATTTAGCTCAGCGGCACAGCGCCTGCCTGGCAAGCACAAGGTCGTGAGTTCGATTCCTGGTACCAGAGAAAAACCAACAACAACAACAAAAAATTTCCCTGAAGGATGAAGTATTTCATAATCAAGAATCAGGTCAATGAGATCTCTGTAGTCCATATAATAATATAAACACCTCACCCACCCACCCAAGTACTGGGGATTGAGCCCAGGACCTTCATACTGAGTTATATCCAGCCTTTTATTTTGAGACAGGGCCTCACTAAGTTCCCAAGCTGGTCTTCAACTTGCTATCCTCCTACCTCAGCCTCCCAAGTGCTGGGATTACAGGCATACACCACAACACCTGACTATAAGCACTTTTATTGTATCACTCCAGGTTAAAACAATGATAGCAATGGCCATTTTAATGTTAAATTTCTTCCAAAATTCCTTAACTATTTTTGGATTCTCACCTTCAGTAACAGAAATTAACATCATAAATGTTCACTTTATATGTAAGTTATAAATGATGTTTCTACAGCTTTATCAAGGAGTTGTAACAGGCAGTTTTTGGAGGAAAAAGGACAGGCGTAAGTCCTGCTTTTGTGGAGAGCACAGCTTGATGCCCTGTGAGAAGTTTTAAAGTTTGTTTTCGAGGCTTCTGTTATTGCAATAATCTCAGTAACTTGGAAGAATTAAGTAAAAACACTAATACAATATGGGCAATGATCCATGCATTTTTCCAACAGAGAAGCCCATCCCAAGGCTGACTAAAAATTCCTTTCACAAAGTTCACTTAAAAGGGTTACAGTTTGGTGAGTGATAAACTATTACTGGCTTTAGCTTAAAGCCTCCATTTGCCCATGCTGCCAAGTACCATAGTTACGTTACCTGCTAGAACTTTAAACTGTGGAGCATGTTTTGTGTCTTTGAGGCAGGAATTCATAACATACTTGTGCCATCAAAACCAAGAATTTGGGGCTGGGGATCTAGCTCAGCGGCAAAGCGCCTGCCTGGCAAGCGCAAGGTTGTGAGTTCAGTTCCCGGTACCGGAGAAAAACCAAAAAAAAAAAAAAAAAAAAAACCAAGAATTTAACTCCGTGCACAGCTGTCTTCTCAATTTACTTCTTATCACTGGTGGAAAATTCTTTTGGAGCTTTTTCATTTGTACTAATGGCTATGTCAAAAAGCTGAGGCTTAAGAAATTGGAGCATTGTTTAAAATAACTACAGCAAGCACTAGTGGTATTAAAAGGAACCACTTCCGCAAGATACAGTGATTTCCTTGTTCAGTTTTAGTGTATAAATAAAGTTCTGTGTGAGAAAGGCTGTACTTGATTTTTCACTAGTTAGTCTTGAGTCCCAGTGTTCAGCCATCTTTCCTTTTCTTTTATTTCTTTATGCCTTGTTCTTCCTGAGTTAACAGACCTCGAATCTGGTCCAGGCATATTTTATTTTTATGACATTACCTCATGATCCTCAGTGAGATTTTTTTTGTATCTGTTGCTTGGGATCTATCACATGTTCTCATTTCTATGCATTTTCTCCCTTTGCGTTCCTTCTCATTACATAAAACATTTCTTTTTGTATGTAGCACATGGCATTTTTGAACCAGGATGCTTAGACTGGCTTGGGGTATTGAATGAGTGGTCTTCTCAAACAGAAAAGCTCACAAAGTAAGCAGGAAAACACAGATCGTGTAAAACAATACATATGGTAAAATGAGGCAGTCAGGAGATGTCTGAGACGTATGTTTTTTATACTATATTCCTGTGGGCTTGGTTCAGCTGGGAGCAATTTTCTGTGTTCACCTAGCATTTTTAATGGATAAAACTGCACATACACATGCATGCAAATTTTGCCTTCTTACAGATTGTTCCCCGATATATTAATTGCACTGAGGAAAAAATTCGCATTTTAAAAACAGAACCAACTGATACATTTCTATGAACAGTTTTTGGATTGATAGCAGGTTCTCATAGCAGCAGAATGGTTGACAATAGGACATCAAGTAATTTTGAGGTGTGTTATTATGTGACCTGGGTATCTGATCCACCAAACCAAAAACTGAACATTACAGCAATAATTCATCAAATATAAACTGTTTAGTCAGACATCACACACACACACACACACACACACACACACACACACACACGGAGGATATTGGTGGGTGGACTGAAGAAATTCCAGGTGCCTCAGACCTTCCAGATACCGATTTCAGCGTTACTATTGCCCCTTCGTCAGCCACCATCTACAGCACTAAGGGAAACACAAGCAGATAAAGAATACCACCTAAACGCAGTCTACAAAGATTTGCACAGTTACTAGAGTCAGCCCAAAGTGAAGATTGCTGTACTATAATCCCACCGAAGGGAGTTTCAAAAGGAAAGAAAGATTGATTAATTTACATGGATTTTCAGGTCCAATACCCACAAACTCAATACACTTTAATTGTGATACTGCAATCCAAATGTAACTTACATGATCCAATCTTGTCTTTTTAAAAGATTGATCATCATTAAATTCATCTTCCTCATATGGCTCTGAAGAAGACGATAACTTTCTTTTCCTGGGCCCACCACCTTTTAAAACAGAAAAGCATACTCAAAATTCACACAGAAATTATAGAAATTAATTTGCTTCAAAACAAAGGTAAAAATGCATTACACAGACTACATGGTTATCTTTCAGGCCTAATGTTCCTTCTGCTACATAGGATTAGACTGAAGGAAAAGTGAACATGCTCTATAGTTTTCCTAAACTAGAAATCAGTATAATGCACTATTTGTAAACCATCACATTAATGCTAAAAGACTATCTCTCCAAATTCATAATTAATTATATTCTGTACACCATTTATCTACCAAACTCTTTTGCTTGCAGAGAGCAAATACTTAGAAAATACAGTTTTGGTAAGGTGGAAGGAAGGCTTTTTAAAACCCGCAAAGGTTCACAATTTTAGTATCAATTTTATTGGAATCTGAACTGTGCAGTTATATAATACTCAAAGTAAACGCATACAGCGTTTTGAGTTATAAGCTTAAGATGACTGTTACAAAATAAAACTGAATACCATAAACCTTTAAAGCACAGGGATCACGTTAGTATGAATACTTGTTTCCTACTTCAGTCCATAATGCAAATGTGCATTGTGTATACACAAACTAGTATCTAGCATTCACCTTAGAAGTCTTAGCAGCCATACATTTTCTAGAGTTAAGTACTTACTATTTTAAGTCTGGAAAAGAATTTTCAAACTAGATCATTTATGCCATATCATTTAAACATGTTTAATTCTTTCCTAAAAAGATGACAACTAAAAGCACAACACCAATAAATTCTTATTTTCACTTTCTAAATAGGGTACAAATATTTGTAAACAAAAACCTTCAGAAGATACTATGCAAAGATTCCCTTACAGCTTAATATGCAGGGTAATACTGTCTATAGATTTTAATTTGTGGTAAAACTCAGGTTCAATATCATGACTTGTAAATCTAAGATTGCTATTTTAAAAAGGTCTTTTGCTACAAATATCCTAAAACACAATAGTTCCTTTGGTGACATAGTAAAGATTAGCTCATCTTCCAGTTAAAAAAGGCATCCTTCTATACATCACCTGAAATTGCATTCTACTAAGAACTTTCCAACTATCCCATCCAGTCCAAAACACAGAAAAGTATACTTAAAAAACAAGAAAGTCCTGTTTTCTTATTTTCACCTTGTCTACATTTTTAAAAAAATACATGAATATGGAGTATAAGGGTAAGAAAAAACATCTCAACTTAAATTGAGGTTTAAACTTAATAAGGGTTACAAACTCCCCGGGGTGGGGGTTCTGTTCCTTGTCTCCCCATACACCCTTAGGACCTCCAACAGCATATGCCATGTACTAGGTGGGGCCCAAGACATACTTGCTAAATTAACGAGGAAGTCAAATGATAGGAAATGCTCAAGAAAAAAAAAGACTGGACACTGCTACTGAATAATCATTCTACAACCTGTTTTCAACGGAAAGATTTATGTAACATTTCCTAAGCCATTAAGCAATTCAACAAATGTTCACTGAACCTATCATTTCTTAGGCTTTTCTAAAATACTTTAAGTACTAAAAACACGTTAATGAGGAAAATAAGTCAACTCTCTCCCATATCATTTTCTCTTATCGGATGGTCCTTAAGAACTTAGCTTGTACCAGACACCACAGTAAGGAAGTTACACTAACTTTATTAGTAGTTCTTTACAACAACCCATGAATTTAGCGCAGAATACTATTTTACTGCTAATAAACAAAGAACACAGAAGAGTTAGGCAACACTGCCCAAGGTCACACAGCTACTAAGTGGAAAACAAAAAGATCTTGATATTCTGTGTAGGTGACACCCACACAATACTGTCCCCTTGTTTAAACTGGAGAAAATTAAAAGTGTTTAATATTTCATATGCATGAAATATTATGTTTAGGACCTGTTCTAACCAATCTACTGAGTGGGGAGAAAATGAAGTAAGATAACTATTGAAGAAAGATGATGGGCTTACAGGAACTTAGTATCTTCTATTTTTATACATATCTTAAGTTTAAAAGAAATTTTTTGACTAGATACAGCAGTGTACACCTGTAATCCCAGTACTCTAGAAGACTGAGGCAAGAGGATTGTAGGTTCAATCCCAGCCTGTGCAACTGTGCAACTTAGCGAGACTCTGTCTCATAATAATAAACATTTTAAAAGGGCTGGTGATGTAGCTCAGTGCAAAGGCCCTGGGTTCAATGCTTTATACTCCAAAAAGTAGAAAAATACAGCTAGGGAAAGGGGTATGCATCATACACAGTTAATGAAAGCATAAACTGGTACAACCATGAACAAAAAACAGAAGTACATATAACAAGTAAAAATGTATATATTCTGAGGAACTTAAAATTTAACCTACAGAAATAAAGACTTTTGTAAAAAGAGTTAATAATGGAAACAAGGGCTGGGGATTTAGGTCAGCAGCACAGAGCCTGCCTGGCAAGTGCAAGGTCATGAGTTCGATTCCCAGTACCGGAAAAAAACAAAACAAACAAACAAATAATGGAAACAAATGGTAAGAGGAAAAGTTAATAAGCTAACCCTATGAGTAGTCACAGACAACTGTCATAAAATTATTTAAAATAATCAAATACCTAACTGCACTGACAAAATGCCCATGATAAATTAGTGACTTAGGTTTTACACCCTTGTGTATATGTGCGCTGTACGGTGTGTATGAACACAGGAAAAAAGAATCAATGGAGTATAGGGTTATTTTCATTACTTACTTTAAATGCTTTTCAGTACTAGGATTAAGGTGATTTTTGGCAGGGGGATATGTGTGAATTAACAAAAACAGTCAAGATAGCATATGCTAAAAACTTGAGAGATTTTTTTTTCTGTATTGCAAGCTCCTTCAAATGCATTTATTTTCTTATCGGAAGCCTGAAACATGGCATAAATATTTATTCATTGAAGGAATGCTGATTACCAGTAAGGACTTTCCACAAAACATTAGTTCCTACTGACTCAGGTTTGTAGACCTGTAAATAAAACCACAGTGCAATTAGAAAAATTATCTAAAAGTGAAGAAGAGACACCTTCCAAAATTTCACTGTTATGGGATTTGATCTCTGGAAAACAAAGAAGATTACCAATGAGAAGTTGGTCCCTCTCTTTCTTGGGGGAGGCAAAAAAATACTAACCTACAAGTTTGGTTCCCAAGTAGCTGTATGACCTCGGTGAAGTTACTTAACCTTCTACAGCCTCAGTTTCTTCATCTAAAAAACTGAAGCTATTAATACCTCACGGGTTCTTGTAAGAATTCACGACAGTGCTAGGTAAACTGCAAAGGACCATTAATAAGATATTGTTATTATGTAACTAGTAACCCAAATGACTTAAATGCAGCCGAGGAATACCTGCATCACCAAACATCAGCAAGGCGGCAGCAATGGCTCCATCCATAGTAGTTGTTGACTCAATCAACTAACAGAAAAAGAAAAGACATATTTAAAAAATAATGCTGAAGGAATAATTTCACGAAGTTACTGAAATATTTAAGACAAGTACATTAAATGTCATACAGAGTGGAGTATATGCTTGTGTTATGGTGTAAGTTCTGGAAGTCTTATGATAAATTTTCACAAAATCTGGTTTATTGAAAAAGTCTGGACTTATCTAAGTATATCTTAAAATGCATAAAATTTACTCTTCATCACAATAAAGAATAATTAAAACATACAGTAAATATACTATTTTCCAGCTTTTGGTATTTTAGGTCTAAGGCTTTTCTCTGAAACTGTAAAAACTTCCCATTTCTGTTTCAGGCATTGTGTGGGCAGAGGTGGAGAGAGAACAGGAAAGAAAAAGGACAGGGAGATGGAAGAGACATGGAGAGAAGGCCTGAGAGAGGAAGCGTGATGGACAGTTATACACTTTTGCTATTTTAAGAATAAAAAGGCAGAATCCTGGTCTTTGAAAAATCTAGTTCTTCTTAAGATGAATGAAAGACTGCTGATTTTTACTTTATTTTTGAATGGCCTGAAGCTCCCCAAGAATATAATGCATATAATATTTACCTAATAGTTTTAAAATACTGTTTTTACACTGTTCGGTAACATTTTAGACTTCAGAAGAAACTAAATATCCCACATTTTTCCCGTTAGTTTTGATCCTATTGGGGAAGGGATGCTAGGGATTAACACAGGAACCTGTGTATGACAGACAAATACTCTACAACTGAGCTACATCTCTAGCCTTTACTTTTAATAAGCTGTTTTTATATTAAATCAGCCACAAGTCAAATATGAGAATACTTTCTTCTACACTCCTTTTTCCTGGTTTTGGAACCTCTGATATTTTCTAAGGCCCTCTTCATTTTCAAAATAGTCAAAGCATATTCTTACCAAGCCTAAAGCTAAATTTGTATTTTATCACTTCTAGAGCTCCTTAACAAGTGTCTAAAAATGTGTATAGTAATTTATACATGTCGCCTTTCTCTTGAACTGAGGGAATCACTTGAAATATAAATTACTCTGGAAGAGTGCTCCACTTTGAAGTGAATGTTAAATTTCCACAGTGTCAGATACTGATGAATAAGACAGAAACTATCAAGTATGGGGAGCTTACATAAGTGTTTCCGGTAGAAGGAATCCCATTGTGGAAGCACTCAAACACAAGAAAACCTCCCAACCTAGGTAGGCTTGGAAGATTAAGATTATTTTATTATTTACAAGTGTAACCTTCCCTATTAATAAGCTATGACTCCCACGAAATAAATTTCAGGCCTTTACCTTTCCTACATAAAATAATTACCTTCAAACATATATCTTTAGAAAAATGGCTATCCACAAATACCTATAGGAAGGATTCAAGAGAGACTTTTATCATCAGTACAGCTACAACTAATTATTATAAATGGTACAACCTTAAGTAAATCAGCATCACTTCTTTGTGGAAAAAGTTCCTTCAAGGTCTGAAGTTTAGCATCTTTAAGATCTTCCAATTCTGAAAGGCCTTCCAATTCTGAAATACCCTCATTTCTTCGTGACATGGTCGGAAGGCCCTGTGACTCTTCATCTTCAGATGGCTCAGAACTAAAAACATTTTTGGAACAGAATAAAACATTTTTCATACTTTGCTAATTTTTAAAATTATACTGTCTATATGTATACATGATACAGAACATCTGCATCTTTTCTACATTCAATGAAATCTGTATCTGTCAGAATAAAAGACCTTTTCATTCCAATATAGTTATGTGTGTAAAATTCCCATTATCAAAGTTAGCCCACCTTGAAGAAAATCTCAAATTACTTGAGCTGGGATGGAAAAGATGAAAAAAGGGAACTACCAGGAATTATTTTCTTTAGCCAATGTGCTGCATGTTAAATAATGTTGTCTTTCTGCTCCTGAGAAATTAGAAACCCTAAACCAGGCACAGTGGCATATGTTTATAACCCTACAACTTTGGGAGGCTGAGACAGGAGGATCCTCCAGCCAGGGCAACATGGCAACTTTATGAGACCATGTTTCAAAGTTAAAAATACAAAAACATGTGGGAATGTGGGTCTTCAGTGTGAAGGCTCTTGGTTCATTCCCCAGTACCACAAAGGGAGGGAGGAAAGGAGAGAGGAAGAAAGGAAGATTTCCAGGGCTTATGCAGACAATAAGAGATAAAAGTTAACATCAGAACTGTCTCATTTAATTTAAATATCTCTGCCAGGACAAAACACTGCCTCAGCAGACAGTGCTTATTTCATAAGAGAGTTTCTTCTCCAACAACTAATTTTAATTCTATTCCATTTCATTTTATAGGGTGGACAACTGAGAGTCCAATTTTACTCATTTACCCCTCGCCCCTAAAAATCTGTTTGAAATTTTGGTTTCCTAACATGGCAAGCACTCTAGACTTAAGAATTGGGTAGAAATGGAACACTACAGCAAGTTAGCAAGGTGGGAGTATATCTCAGCGTATTTCTACCATCAGCAAATGGTGACTCTGTTGGGTAACCGGGCGGCTCTCTTAAGCACAGACCCAAACACTGTAATTCTGTGACTTCTCTATGGCCAGCCAAGTCAGTTCTTAGGGGACCAATGATGTGTAAGAATCAGCTAAAAGTACTGAAAAGCATATTCCCAAGGATTAGGGATTTTCTTTTGGGGGAGGGGATAATATCTTGCTATGTTCAGGCCAGCCCTAAACTTAACATGTAGGCCAGGCTGGTCTCGAGCTAATGGTGATTCAGTGATCTTCCTGCCCCAGCCTCCTAACTGCTGTGATTCTAGGTGTGACACTGAAGTACATATTTCAAAAGATGTTGATGTCTTGATTTTTGTTCTGAGAAACTGCTCTAAACACTTAAATAAATCTCTTCCTTTATCACTATTCTTGTCATTCAAATGTTGGAAGACAATTCCATGTTCCTTCTATCCAGTACCATAACCAGACTTCTCATTCTTAATGCATTCAACTCCGAATTTTCATTCTACCTCACTATTGTCCCTGCTGCTTACTTTCATACCTCATACTGAAGGTATTCAGGCCAAAATTCTCATAATTTCTTCCCTGGATACATTTTCAAAGGTCTTTACTCTTCTGGCTATCATGATTTTTACTGTGATGAGAATGACACCCATTCAGAAAAGAATAATTCATGCACTTTGATGAGGTGGTATTCATACTGTCCATAAATCCTATGCCTGAGATTTAACTCACAGTTCACAAAAAACACAACAGAGGAATAAAACCAGTAACATTTATTAGAAAACAACAAAAAACTATTTTCTGGCAGAAAAGACTTCACCTCTTTAATACGTTGAAGCCGTA